TCCCTCGTACCTACCTCCCTTCCCACAACTACAAATTCCGCAAGCGCGCCCGCAAAACTCTCTCTCAACTTATCTGCCAGCTTCCGGGAAGCAGTGGCTAGATGGTATGCGTGGAGTGCGAGTCGAAAAGTCCCAACAAGCTGACTGTAGCCTGGCCGGCGGTGCGCCTGATTGCCACGACGGACTGTGGGATCTGGGCAGGCCGTGTCGAGACTAAGTCGGCGGGGTGACGATCGCAGTGGTGGAGAGTGGCACGTGACGACCGGGATCGTCAGTGCGTGCATAGTGATCGGAGTTGAATGGCCCGGGGCCATAGTGGAATTTCACGGCGGATGCGCCTTTTTGTCTTGAGTCTATCCTTTGGTGTGAGTATGACTCAACGGCAGTTAAGCCGAAACTCCTTTTTCATCTTCGGATTTTTGCATGATCTTCATCTATCTTGTTGTTCTCGCTCATTTTCGCACTTTTTTTCCCCACCTACTTTAAGGCATAAATAACTATGAATGTCTGTCATGAAATGGTTGTCTGATGGGCTTGCGTTTGGTTGGCCATGGGATGACAGGACAAGGGTGCAGAGCACACGGAGAACTGAATGATGCATGGCTGCCATTTTCGCACCTTCCGCGAAAAGCGACCACGAGTGTAGATCGGGATATTCGGATGATAAAATTGCTGATTGATGGGCTGGTCCTTGATTAGGCTGAAGAGTTGTTACGAATGGAATGTATGGATATGGTCGGATCGTAGGCAAAGATACTGTTGTTGGGATTTTGTTCGAAAATGCAAGAGTGTTTAGATTTGTCGGTGTTGTGATTGCGGGAGAGCACCCCGAGATCTTTAACTTGGAATGCGCTACGCATGCCATCTGCCTTATGCTGCACGACATCTGCAGCTTGCCTTCGATACAGAAAACCCGAGCGACGGGTAGTGTATTTTTTATCATTACGATTGTCGGACTAATGACCATTGAGACCGACTTTCTCGACTAATTGGATTGCCATGTGGACTGATGGCCTCAACCCGACTGGGCGTCGGCCTCCCGTATCCCCGCCACGTCCCTCCCCGTACAACGAAAAGAGGGCACGTGTATGCGAGTGGGACGTATGAGAAGTCGTCGCCAAGATCGGAGGCCGATACTATTTCCCTCCCGAAACTCGATGCTCAGGGTTTGTCGACGCTGGTTTTGTCATTGTTGACACACATTTTCTGCCTTATTTGCTGCTATTGCCGTTTAATGAGTTGATCATCATTCCGTGGCCGGCAGTGACGCCTCATTGGCCTAACACTCTGTGCAGCGATTGTTGTCGCTTCGAGCGTTACCGATCAAAAGGCTTTCACTACCGACTACGGAGTGAGGACGAACATAAGGAAAGACTCACGCGACTGGGACCCTCAACGTCAGATTCTGAGTTATGCAATGAGCGGCGTCGGGATTTGATCTGGAAACGGGACACCAAATACGTACCCGCACCCTTTCACGCAAAGCGAAGAGCAACGGCTCGATGGGAAGTTCAACAATACTTTTTGGATTAAACTTCCCCGCGCCGTACGTCCCGCGCGCGCCTTTTTCTCCCTCAAAACCCGCGCAGTGACGGACCCTCCCCCTTCTTACTAAGTCGGACCGGCACAAGGGACTTCGGTTTTGTCCGTGTCCCCACACTCAACTTTCCAAAAATCCTTGGCACACCCCATTTCGCTGCCTTTCTGGGCCCCCTTTCGCAATTTAAACACTCCGAACGAAAGACAGCGCAGAGCGTGAGGTTTGAGCGTCACATACTATTCATTTATTGCAACGACAAGCATGTATTCAGAAATACAACTGCACACTCAAATGAACAGATGCTACGATCATAACAAGGGTGCTCAGGCGATTCGGAAGACGGGAGAGGTACTGGGCAGGAGGGCGCATCATAGATTCGAGAAAAAGAGTGCGAGAGGTTAAGGAGAGAGAGAGAGAGAGAGAGAGAGAGAGAGAGAGAGAGAGAGAGAGAGAGAGAGAGAGAGA